AACACAACCCACCAACAGCTATGCCTTGGTTCCAACCCACAAGAGAAAAGCTACTTCCTTCCTTCCTTTGTTTTCTCTGTATTCCGTTAATAATTTGAATTTTCCTTAAGTTGCTTCTGCACTGAGTTTGAACTTCTTTTAAAAAAAAAAAAAAAGGAAGGAAGGAAAAGGGAAGCCAGCTAGGCAAATTCCTGGTTTTCACTAAGAATGGTATCCAGGTTTTCCACCTGGTACAAACTTGAAAGACCCCCTCTATCTATAAACGCCCCCCCCACTCCAGCCCCCAAACCCACTAGCTTCCTAGGTCCAGTTTACCTACATGCTATTATTACCAATACTCCGGCCTTCCCAGCTTCTGGACCACAGCTGACTTTCACTGCAACCCCCCAAATCTCCAGCACAATGCTTAGAACACACTAAACACTAATGTGCCAATGTTTGAGACATTAACAAATGAACGTGACATTACAATACTACCAGTCCCTGGACCTAGGGCTCCCATTTGCCCAGGCTCACCCATTCCTCCCCACCACATAATCTCTAGACTAAACCAAGCCCGATAGTGAGTTCACTGGTCTTAGTAAAGACCAGAGGGCAATTAGGCCCAGGGAAGAGTCACAGTTGGCAGACACTTTCTGGGCAATGGAATGGATCAGATACAAAATGTGCCTGTGAGCTAAACAACAGGCTGGGCCATATTTAAACAGCCACCATTGTGTTGGCTACACTCGAAGTTCAGGCAATGGAACTGGCTGAGCCCTGTAAATTAAAGACTACACAATAGGACAGGAGGGCTTTCACGTAGTCTCTACGTCCTGCTCCCTCAACAGACTTCCCAGTTCTACACCCTCAGCCCCCTTCTCCCATTTCCCCATTGCAAGGTAAGATCATGACTTCCTGCCCAGGCCTCACTCCAGGGACCAAGAATCAAACTTCCTGCTAGAATCAAACTTCCTGCTTCCTCCTGCCCTACCCCCACATCGAAAAACAAATGACACCACCTGGACTTTAGACAGAAACCCTGCTTATTAGGAATTCCCAGGCAGATGAAGTCTGGTTTTCAGTGCCTAGAAAACCACAACCTTGGCCACTCAGACTGCTTTCCACAACCTCTCACAGTGCTGGAAAAGTTCTTCCTCAACTTATCTTTGCCCTGGTCATCTAGATCTTTCCTAAACCTCGGGAGAAGGAAGTCCGTTTTGAGTTTAGAGACCCACCCCCATGTTAATATTGAAAAACAAGCCCTATTATTTCTGAATCTATCACAGAAAGTGTAGTATTTAGTCTATTTTCAGGTGAGGGGTAGGTGTCAGCTATTGCTATGAGTTGCCCCTTTGAACTCCAAGTGACTAAGGGCTGTTAAGAGTGAATCCAAAGCCATGAATCCTAAAATACCAGCATAAAAAAATCTCCAGGATATGTTAAGGAAAATAAGGTGCAAATATATGTATATATCATGTAACTGTATAGCAAAACGTTGGAAAGATACACAAACTGGGGGGTAGGAATAACAAGAACAGTGCGAGGGAGATGCTCTGCCCCTTTGACATGATTCTGAATCTCAAACTCTTGTCTACTAACTCACTCGAAATAACGAAAAATCACACCAGCCTTATCCTAAACAAGAACTAGGCTGGAGATCCTAGACAAACCTCCAGTCACAAAGGAGCTCAAGAATGAGGTGAAAGCTAAGAGGAACCTGCTGGAATCCCATCAGCACTCATTTCCACTTTCAAGAGGGGCCACTCACTAGTTTCTAGCTCCAATGGAACAATTTCTTCATGGAAGTATTGGGAAGGAAAGTAGGGGTGACTCACCAATCTGTCCTGTTGGTGACAAGTCCCACGTTAGAAATGTTTCAAAGAGCTTGAGTCAGAAACAGCAGGAAACACCATTGCTCAAGACTAAGAAACCCCACAGGTAAGTTAAGGGAGCAGTGAAAAAGCCAGGGCCCAAACCTTCATTCACCTTCCTTATGGTTACACTGAAAGCTAACACACACACACCCTCCCTGGCCGCTGTCTCTCTTCCCCCTCCCACTCCCTCTTCCTCTCCCTCTCTCCATACTGTGTTCTCACTTGGCTTTTTCCACTCAAGGATGGTGCTCTACCATTTGAGCCATACTTTCTCTTCTGGTTAATTAAAATTAAAGAGTCTCATGTCCTTTTCTGCTGGGGCTGGCTAAAACCTCAATCTTGAGATCTTAGCCTCATAAAGAGCTAGGATTACAGGTGTGAGCCCCCACAGTGCCTGGCAGTACAGAGTCTTAGATACAGATTCACTATGGCTGACTAGTTTCATTTTCCTAAGCCCAACTCTCCCAGTATGCTCCCCTTCCCTGTCCACTATGTCCCCCTGTCGGGTGTGGGCCCTTCCTCAATAATGGCAGAAGCCAATGTGAGGGGCAGTCCTGGAGGGAAGGAAGAATGTAGGTGCAACCTGTACATGCTTCAGATTCAAAGCTCAAGAAAGAGCTCCCTTGCGCTAGGAATGTGGCTTAGTGGTAGAGTGCTTGTCCAGCATGCATGAAGCCCTGGGTTCCATTCCTTAGTACCACATAAATAGAAAAGGCCAGAAGCAGCACTGTAAGAGAGCACTAGCCTTGAGCACAGAAAGGCAAGGACAGTGCCCAGGCCCTGAGTTCAAGCCCCAAGACTGGAGAAAGAGAGAAGAAAGAAAGAAAGAAAGAAAGAAAGAAAGAAAGAAAGAAAGAAAGAAAGAAAGAAAGAAAGAAAGAAAGAAAGAAAGAAAGAAAGAAAGGAAATAAGGAAGGAAGGAAATAAGGAAGGAAGGAAATAAGGAAGGAAAAGAAAAGAGCTCTCACTCTTTGACCATTTGGAACCTCCCCGCTTCCTCTGACCTGCTCTTTTGAGGACAGCATTCTTTGATCCTCACAAAATCCAAAGCTACCCAGAAATAACCTCTTCCTGAACATGGAATGTAGCTATTATCCCCCATTGATCCTTATGACCAGGATAGGACATGTATTATTACTTCTATTTTATAGATGAATAGACTGAGCTACTAGCCCAAAGTCATAAACAAGACAAAGAAGGGAGAATCCAGATAGGGTAGGCTGGCTCCCATTTCCATCCTCATTTGCACTAACCAAATCACTCCCCACCCTCACATCTACAATTTAAAAGCTGCATGGACATGTTACTTCCTCGGACCCACTGTCCTCGCTAATGCAAAAATCACCTCAGGATCTCCCTCAATTGAGGATAGAGTACCACACAAAACCAGAACATGACCAAGGATGTCACTAATATTTCTAAGAACTGGATAGAAGTAAAATAGGCAAAGTAGGAAAAGAAAGGGAGGGCTGGGAAGGTGACTCAGTGATAGAGTGCTTGCCCCACATGCATGAGACCCTGGGTTCGATTCCTCAGCACCACATAAACAGAAAAGGCTGGAAGTGGTGCGGTGGCTCAAGTGATAGAATGCTAGCCTTGAGCTGAAATGCTCAGGGACAGCACCCAAGCCCAGAGTTCAAGACCCACAACTGACCAAAAAAAAAAAGGGGGGGTACTGAGGAAAAAAGTAAATGGATAGAATGAAAAGGAAAAGTGGGAAGGAGGCATAACCTGGTGGGAAAGAAAAAAAATTAAACGACAAAATAACAGATTCTTAAGCAAATAGTTCTTGTGCCGTAGTATGCTGAGAAGCTGGATACAAGTGTAGAAACCCAGAAAAGAGAAAAGAGAGGAAAGCAAAGATAATAAAAAAAACTGGAAGCAAAGAAAACGAGTTTCCAGGTTCCACCCTCTTGCCAGCCGGGAAAAGTCATTTCCCTTCTTTAGACCCACTTCCTTATCTAGACAATACAGGGCATTTTAACTGCTAGGGTCTAATCCACTCCGCGTTTGTTTTTGTGTTAAAGGTCAAAGGAATGGTATACAGTGTAAGGAATCTTCTTCTACATTTCAAAAACACCACAAAAAGAAGTGCCTTTATAAGATGCCAATATTGATTGAATCCCAAAATAAAAACTGGGAGGGAAGCAGACTCACATACAACACATTCTGCCACAACTATCCACCTAAGTGTGCGTACAAACACTTCAGACTCAGACGTAGCATGAAACCACCAGAAAGTTAGACAGATAAATATACAAGTGCTGACACAGGTTGACGAAAGCCCAAACCAATCTTCCACACTCAGCCCCACACAAACACACCTAGAGCCACAGGCAAGCCCCTGCAAGTGAGCCTCATTGTTCTACCCGAAAGGGAGTTTACAGAGGAAACAAGAACTCCCATGCCCAGCCAGGGCGAGGGCAGGGCTCTGGCTCTGAGGAAAGTCCCATCCTCCCCTAGGGAAGAATCATTGGGTCAACAACATTTCTTAAGGACTCCTCGGTAGTCATTCCAGAAAAGGAATTCTGAAATTCCAGTTTCGTTCCACTTCAGACTTTGCACCTGGCCACTTTTCCCAGAGCAAACCAGGGCAACTCAGAGATTCAAAGACGCAAGAAAACCCACTCTGCAAAAGCCAGGGAAGATTTCCCCACACCATCTCCCACACCCCACCAGTTTCCTCCGATAATCCCTCAGAAGCCAGGAAAGCCAAGGGGTGAGAGGCTCTGACTGGATCCTCTGGGTGGTCCGTGGATGTCGGGGGGCAGGTGGTGTGGAGTGGGGGGCTGAGTCGACAGACGTGGGACGGGTCCCAGCGCTCGCACCAGTAGTTGAAGGACTGGAACCAGCCCGCCCCACTTATTTTTGGTGTGTATGCTAAAAGAGGGTGGCCCACTTTCGCAGGAAAGTTCGCTCGGGGTGTAAAGGGAGGGGTCGCAATTCAGGGCTTGGGGAAGGGGAGCCAGCGGCTCTCCAAGGCTGGGGGAGGGGAAGGAAAGGAAAAATCCTAGGCAGGGGAGGGAAAGGACTGTGAGGGTGAGGCAGATAGTACTTTGGACTCCTCCCCTCCCGCGGGCCTGGAGCCTGGGGAGCGCCTTCCACCCACCTCCGACCTGACCCACTGAAACTCCGGCAACTTACACAGGATCACTGAGGTGAAGAAAAGCAACTGACTCCTCCCGGCTTTCGCCTGAGTCCCCATCACGAACAGATCCCGACAGAAGAACCAGACGCCCGAGCCCTGGAGACAACACAGCTTAACAACCTGCAGCGTTCGGGTAAAACTCCAGCCTCCAGGTCTAGCCCCTCCTAAACCCTCCTTCTTCGTCCGATTGGTCAGTTCTCTATACTGTGCACATTCTGATTGGTTAAGAGAACCGCCCTTCAATTGAGTGAATCACCGCAGCCAGGTACAGCCCTTCCCATTACTCCCCACTGGGTCGGATCAACGCGTTTCCTGGATTCAGGCCTCTGATTGGCCCAGAAGATTGTTGCGTAAGGAAACGAATTCCTCACCTTAGGCAGGTAAGGGCTCCTGATTGGACGTGTGTCCGTCCTACAGTAGGGACGTCCTAACTAGCTGGGTTCAAATCTCAAGCCGCAGCCTACAAACTTCGTTATCTCTTAGGAGGAGGTTAGGAAAGGTCCTCGAGATGGGAATCTTGTTGCTCCCAGGGCCCACTGACCACCTTCCCCCGCGGGGCCCTCCTTGTTCTCAGGAAAAACTCATCCCCGACCTTATCTGAAAGCGAGAGCTGAGCCTTATCTGAAACCCTTATCTGAAAGCGCTGGAAGGGCTGGAATACCCTACCGCGAAACTCCAAACAGGACTGTTTGCACTTCACAGTGCAAACTGTGTCCCAAACTGGACACAGTTCGGACAATAACTCCCCTACAGGACAGGACAAAGAAATTCCAAAGAAGAGTCTCACACTAGAATGTATAGAAACCTAAAACGCCCCACATTACCCGCTCCTTGTTTTTCCGACCCTGCTCTGACCTTTGCAGCTATGATCAAAGCCTGTCCTGGTTTTCTGCTTTCTTTCACGCCTTTTTTTTTTTTTGAGGGTGAAAGTGATTCATTTTTTTTTAATTTTTTATTGTAAAGATACTATACAGAGGGTTACAGTTACATGAGTAAGGTAATGAGTACACTTCTTTTTTTTTTTTTTTTTGTCCGTCGTGGGGCTTGAACTGTGGTCCTGGGCGCTGTCCCTCAGCTCTTCAGCTCAAGGCAAGCGCTCTACCACTTGAGCTACAGCGCCACTTCCGGTTTTATGGTGGTTTATTGGAGATAGGAGTCTCACGGTCTGGTCTCTCCTGCCCGGGCTGGCTTTGAACCGCGATCCTCAGATCTCAGCCTCCTGCGTAGCTAGGATTACAGGCGTGAGCCACCAGCGCCCGGCATGAGTACACTTCTTGAGCATTGTTACCACCTCCATTGTTTTCCCCCTACCATCCCTTCCCTCCCTACCTTCCCCATGGTTTTTTTTTTAATTGTGATTAAGTGATTACATAATTTCCCAAATTTCACAGTATTGTGGAATAATGATGCTCATTTAAAGTCACAAGTTCATTCTGACTTTCCTGGAGCAAATTGTCTATCACAGTCTATAACATACAACGGTGTTCACATATACACCATACATGTGATCAGCAGCATGGGGGTATTTAATAGTGGTTCGACCAGATGAGTGGGAGTTCTTTGTTTCTTAAGTCCTGTTAGTTTTGTTGTATCACCTAACATTTTGGATTTAGCATCCACTTATCAGGGAGACCATGTACCGTTTGTCTTTTTGCTCTTGGCTTACCTCGCTCAACATGATTCCTTCTAGCTCCATCCATTTCCCTGCAAATTTGTTATTTCTAATGGCTGCATAATATTCCATTGTGTATAGATACCACAATTTTTGGATCCATTCATCTGTGGAGGGACATCTGGGTTGTTTCCATATCCTAGCTATTCTTTCACGCTTTTCAGTCTCTCGATCTTTCCTAATGCCTCAGACTGTGGGACTCACCCACACTTGGTAAGTTGTGTTTTGTGTTGTTAGTTTGAATGGAAATTGCTTGGTCCCATTGCCCAGCCAGTGAAAAATAAACATTAGTATGAGAGGGTGGAAAGATACCTGGACACCACCCCCAAATCGGGTTCTCTGTCCACCCCACTAGCAACTTTTATGGACTTTGAGAGAGCTGTAAGAAAGGAGGAACAATCAAACCACAGGGAAAGGAGCACTCAAGTCTAGAGTAGAAAAGGCAGAATTGTCTTACCTCAACAACACAAAACACACCCAGATAATAGAAACTGTTGTACACATGCTCTACAAACATCCCTAGCAGGGTGTGTGACTAAGTCCTGCACACATTTGATCTGTTAGCAGAGCCGTAAATGTCAGAATTACTTTTCTTCTCACTGTGACTAATGGCTGGGTGCAGACTATGCCCTCTTTTTCTATAGATAATGTTGCTATCCATGCTTGTTGCTAATATTTATGTCATTAGATCATTTGTAATTGAAATTTATGATCAGCATCTTTGCCATTTGTAGTTTCTGTTTTACAGTAATTTAATTGTAATTATACTAAGTATACCCAAGTTGCCTGTGGAAAAAACTTATTGTAAATAGAAATTTCACGGTTTTTCATGGAGGTGCTGGTACTAGGACTTAAACGTTTCCCCACCTCTCAAAAAGAGCATATGCTCTACCCTTGAGCTATACCTCCATGTTAGGCATTTTGGTGGTTAACTGCAGATAAAAACTGACAGGGGCTGGGAAGGTGGCTCAGTGGTAGAGCGCTTGCCTTGCATGCATGAGGCCCTGGGTTCGATTCCTCAGCACCACATAAGCAGAAAAAGCCGGGAGTGGGGCTGACTCTCAAGTAGTAGAGCGCTAGCCTTCAGCTGAAGAGCTGAGTGAGGGACAGCGCCCAGGCCCAGAGTTCAGGCCCCACGGCCTACCAAAAAAAAAAAAAAAAATCTGACAGATTTTTTTGCCTCGGCAAACTTCAAACTGGATCCTTCTCTGCCTCCTGAGAAGCTAGAATTACAGGCATGATCCACCAATCCCCTGCTGAAAGGACACGCCTTCTGATTTTATGTTTAGCCTCTTTCACCTTTGTCATATTTCACTTTTCATTCCTTGTTTACATCTCATGAACCAAAAATCCCTCATCTGGTTCCACCTAACTTAAAACAATGTGTATCAATAACTTATTGAGTGTTATAGGGAAATACAAATAAATATAAACTACAACATAAAATATAAACCTGATGTCAAAGTTTACAACCTACTTCCCAGAGGAAACTAGACACATCCTCTAAATTAGGTAAAGAGGGGAGAGGAGAGGAGAGGAAAGGAGAGGAGGGGAGGGGAGGGGAGGAGAAGGGAAGGGGAGGAGAGGAGAGGAGAGGGGAGGGGAGGGGAGGGGAGAAGGAGAGGAGGGGAGGGAAGGGGAAGAGAAGGAAGGGGAGGGGAGAGAAGTGGCAGACAAATGGAGAGAGGAAGGATTGATGAATGCAGGCATAATATTCAATGTACATATCTGAAAATGGAACCAGGTAACTTGAGGGGATGGGTGAGCTTGGAGACATGGGGAGAATAATGGAGGGGTGATAGTGATCAAGATATAGTACACTCATAAATTGATATGTTGAACTGAAACCCCTTTGTACAACTACTTAAAGATAATTTTTTAAAATAAATTTTAGACCTGACTTATATAACCCCTCTATACAGCTTTTGTATAATAACAATAAAAAAGTAACAAATAAATAAATTTTAGAAAAAAAAATAAAGGCAAGAAGAGCAAGCTTGGAAAAGGGATCATTGTAAACTATAATTGTCAAAAAAAACCAACTTCAAGATATGATAACTTGAGAGGGTCTTAAACCCTAAGAATAGTAAAATTGTGGGCACCACTTAAGCAGTTAAAGCACTAGCATAGCATATGCAAGGCCCAATATTTCAAAACTCCAGGACTGAAAGATAAATACAAGAAAAAAAGAGAGAAAGAGAAAAACTAAGACTGGTCACAGATTGTAAGTAGGAGGAGTCATCTTAGAAGTCATTGATTTCAACTTCTCAAAGTTCTATGATAGGTTATACATATTCTGCTTAAACTCCTAAAATTTCTCACAGCAGATCTTTTTCCTTCAAGTACAACTCTTTTTAGTTTATTTTATTTTACTTACTATTTTTATTTTTGTTTGATTGGGCTTGTTTTGAGATATGGTTTGACTGTATGGTCCAGGCTGGCCTGAAGTCTCAGCTTCCCAAGTACAAGTGCCAGGATTACAGACACTACCACTCTCAGCTGTGTATAATGTTTTTCCCCCCAGTGCAAGGATTGAACCCAGAGTCTCATACCTGCAAGGCAATCACTTTACTACTCTGCCACTGAGCTATATCCACAACCTTGTGTATAATACTTTTACCCCTTATTGAAATTTGAACTTTCTTCCGTGGCTGGTTTTGAACTTCAGTCATCTGGATCTCAGGTAGGATCTGGATCTCAGTAGCTAGGATTACAGATATGAGCCACAGGAGCCTGGCTGCATAAGAGTGTAACTTTTAATTGTTAAAATATCCTTTCAACAAATTAACATCTGCCTTCTAGTGGGCACTGCTTTCTAAAGTTATACAAAATAAATATTCCTTACCCCTAACAGAGCCTTTCTGGTAACTATTTTGTTTATAAATAAACTTCCTGAGAGTTTTCTTCTTCAAGATGAACATCTTCATCTCCTTCAGATTATCTTCCTCTTCCAACTTAATTTTCTTCCTCTGGGTAAATTTAACCAGGCCCTGGAGAAACCATCACTCCAGGGATTGGGAATGTGGCTTAATGGTACAGTGGTTGCCTAGCATGCATCAAGCCCTAGGTTTGGTTCCTCAGTACTACATAAATAGAAAAAGCTGTAAGTGGCACTGTGGCTCAAGTGATAGAGTGCTAGCCCCTGAGTTTAAGCCCCTAGGACAAGAAAGAAGGAAGGAAGTAGGGAAGGAAGGAAGGAAAGAAGGAAGGACGAAAGAAAGAAGGAAAGGATCATTCCATGTAATGGACAGATCTCAGTTGAGCTGTAACTCCCCAATCTCTAGCTTCCTGTGCTTAGCCAGCTCGTATCCCTGAGGTGTTGCCCATCCAGAGGCAGTGTGACTATGGCAATATCATTTACCTTATGGTAGAGGGAGAATTAAACTGTATATTACATGCAATATACATAGCAAAGGGCCAGGCAGGTTGGCCTACAATTTTGGAATGCATTTGCAAACATAATAG